CACTTTCTCTTTCAGCCATTAGTACTCAGACTACTCACAAACTATTAGGACTGTGAGGAGCAGGACTAGCTGAAAACAAAGAAACAGAACAAGTTGGCTGGGAGTTGGACTTGTGAAGTGGAAGTCATAAGGGGGCTTTTAACAACCTCTTGTTAAAGGGCTACAGTCCCAGCTGCATAGGCCAATAGGTGCTTCTGCCCAGAGCCCCATGAAGCAGCTGATGATACAACCAAATAAAATATGGCCTTTGCAACCACCAGAGCAATACAGCAATTATAGGAGAATCAGCCACCTACGGGCTGTCCCACTATTATACTTTCAAACTTTGATCCTAAACAGGCAGAGGGTGGGCACATTTTAACAGCCAGAATTGGATGGATGAATGCATCAGCTTCCTCCCCTAGGACATGGCCATGCTACCACTTCCCCACAGCAATCAGGCAGTCCAGATCAGAAAAGCAGATTATGTTGTTGGGGTTCTTTTAATCCCTCTTTAATATGACTACACTGACAGAGTTTCTCACTACATTGAAAAGGTTACTGGTTTCTTCCCTTCCCCCTCCCCTTCATTTTTTGGTCTGGAATATCCACTGTTTGTGCAGGAGCACTCAGAGCACAGCTAACAGTGAGCACCAGAGAAAGAGCTCCTCAAGGATTAGTGACATTAGTGAGCACCCTCCAGTAGGCTTTTCTGAACCGAGAGGTGAAAGCACCTTCCACCATTTTTACTTTAACTCTTATGGCACAACCACAAAAGAGTGGGAAGAGAGCAGCATTGCAAGCAAGGGACTGAAGTCTCCCAACTGACATACATCCCAGATTTGCATTTCTACAGCAAGATGCTATTGAGTCAAACCTGCTTTTCCTCATCTATTTCCACTGGGAAGAGCCCCAGAAGCTGTTTGTCAAAGATTACCAACACAAACAATGTCCAAAGATACAAGATGTGGCATGTATTTTTAATGTCATTGCAACAAATAAGAAAATCTGAAGTTGTAACCCTAAAAAGGAGTAAAAAAAACCACCAAACTTCATCTGCCTTCAGCACAAGTCAAAATTTGGGAGTAACCGTTCTCTTAAGGGAGTTATTTAATACTCCTCAAAATTATGGCAGCTTTAATCTTCAGTTAAATTCACTGGCTGTGTTAAACTGCTCACTAATGCTTTCTTCCTCCTATTTTCAGTGTTCCAGCAGCATAAATTAATAAGCAACAAATAAAATGGTCAAGTACAATATCAGAGCTTCCCCATACGAAAGATTTTTTTTTTTTAGCTTTAGGATATGCAATGCTTCCTTTCACTGAGTTTTTCCATTAACAAGACATGTGGGTTTCATTTGTATGGATTAAAAGAATCGTAATAGTTTTCCCTCTTCAAAACCTTCCGTGTCTCAGTTTCAGAACTCCCAAGAAATGCTGACCTACCAATATCAACCTTTGTTTAACGGACAGAATTTTTGGCTGGCAAACATTTGACTCTGAGCTCTAATAAGAGAAGAAATAGCAGACAAAACAGCAATTTTTCACATCACATATGTGAACTCAAGGCCAAACAGTGAAACACAGCAGAAGTGCAAGTTTTACTGAGTCTAGTGAGCTCTGACATGGGATTTTCAGCCCAAAAGGTTTTGCCTATTCTTCTCTCAAGTTGAATTGGCTTATTTAACATACACATCACCTCTGCAAAAGCCCTGCCTTTACAGTACAGCTGTTCTTATAAAAATAATAACAGAGATGTAAGTACTGTAACAACAATAATAATGATAATAAAGTTGTATGTTTTTGAGAGAATAAAAGAAGTGGGATAAATGCAGTGAGAACTTACTTTCCCAAAGTAAGGAGAAACAGGGATAGGTAAAAAAGATAACAACATTAACTTTGGCAAAGAACCCATAGGCTCTGCCAGCACATGGAATAGGCCTTAGCACTGTAAAGAGATTTACTAAAGGAGCTGAGAGTACGAACCACCTCTTACAGAGGATACCAGCCATGAGCATTTTTACAGACAAAGAATCACACCAGGCCCTTCCTTGGCCACTGCCACAGCAAGTTTTAGCCACAAGGAATATTAAAAACTAACACCAAGGTATTTTAATCCAGAATGTGAACTTGTCATTTTCCGGTTCCAAGGATGAAGCAAAAACAAAGAAGCACAACCCTTAACCATTTTTCTCTTACTCTGCTCAAACAAGGGAGAGACAAGCACTTTTTATTCTTCTCCATGCTAACAAAAAGGTGGTAAAGTCCCTTCTGTCTAAACCTAGGCAATCACTGAGAACACTCTCCACTTTCAGGTCATACCATGTAGTAAATTTTTGCTCTTCTCTGGCTATCTCATTCATGAAACCCAAATCGACATCCTGCCTGGCTCTACCTCTCTTTTCTCCTGTAGCTTCACAGAAACAGATTTCAGAAAAGCTTTCCTGATTTCACTGCTCTTTGCAGCAGCTCACGTGGGGCTGAGAAGTGAAACAAAATTAAAGGCTTTCTCTGCCCCTCTGCATGGGGACAGAGGAACACCCACGTAAGAATGCTGATGTAAGAATCAGTAGTTACAGATATACCTCAGCCAAACACAAAGTACAGTTGAGCATTAAGTTAAAAAAAAAAAAACACACAAAAAAACCCAACACACACACAAGGCCTGGTCTGTGTTATTTTCCCCTCAGATGCATCCAGAAAGGTGCAAGCACTCCACATTTTCCCAGCCAGCTAACCTGAAGGTGAAAGCCTCCACAACTCAACAACAAACAACCTTCAAGCTTTAGGATCCTTTGGTCAATCAGCCCCTAAAATTTCTAGTGAGAAACAGACACAGCATCTGTGCGCTCTGATAACACTATTCCATAGATTTAACTTTCTAAATTACCAGCGAGACAGGACAATTTAATAGTTTCAGTCAAACGGTCTTAGCACAGCATGTTAGGCTTATTTAGGGTTTTCTTTCTTAAAGAGAGAAACCAAAGAGACATAACAGATGAACACAACGTGGCTTTTAGCCTTTAGGACCAAGAAGAGATGACAAAATTCAGGGAACAACCCAGCACCGCAAAATTATTCCTGGGTAGTTCCACAAGCCAGGATATCAACTCCTCAATACCCAAGCAGATAGAAGTTCACCCCAAACTTCTTAACTAACAAGTATACTTTTAAGAAACAGAAAAAAAAATAGAGACCAGTACAGGAGGATCTGATGTCCATTCAGGTCATTAGAGGACTGGTCATTCACTTCAGGTGAACCTACTACGAACTTGCTATACTACACTGTGTACTCAAACACCAGTACCTGCTGATCCTGTGTTAGGGTACATATTACTCAGAAAAAAATTTGTTTTTTCACATCACACACTTCCCCCTCCCTCCCACTCCACACAGCACAGAAAGCAATAACCTTTGTATAGGTCACTGTATGTCTGTAAGTCTAAACCAGAACAATGTACAGCTGAGCACATTAACAGTGAGGAAGGGGCTCACGGTATTTTTTCCCCCCTCCGTCTATTATGTTACAGAAATGAATTGCACAAAAGAGCATAATTCTCCAGGGTGACCAAAAAGCCCAAGTATTGTTGTGATACGTGGCTGAATAGCCAGTGTGATGCACGTTGTGTGTGTTACAGAAATGTTGCGTTTGACCTACAGATTGAAAACCAGTGTCAACTGCTGCCTAACTAACAGCTCCCCCTCCCTTCCCCCCCTTCTCCTCCTCCTCCTCTCCCCGCCCGCCCCTTTTTCCTCCTGGTCAACCAAGAAATGGAGCTCCCATGTGCCAAGACCTTGTATCTTATTTTGTCACGAAAACGAAGGGGGGAAGGGGTGGGGAAAAATTATTCTCTAAATAAATACAAGTAACACTGAACTTAAGAAGAAAAAAATCCTCTTCACCCTCCCCCCACCCTGAGACCTGAACAGTTAAGAACAAATATACTTAATAATAAAAAAGATATTCAACATTAGTGCACAGTCTGAGGATAACCCATGAGAAACCTTTTTCCTGGACCCACACAATAGTAACTCTAAGGATTATTCGATAAAGAGACACCGTGGTTTTGCACACTATTCTTTTTGTTTTAAGGCGAGAGGTGCGGAGGATTCAATTAAGTTTGGGCTGGGCAAAGGGACAACTCCAAACGCTAGGATCTCCAGGCAGGAGGAGGGTTTTCGCTGGCTTCAACCTCCACTTACAAAGGAACAATACCCAAAAAAAAAAAAAAAAAAAAAAAGCGCTTAGATTTCAAACTAAAGAGGTCAACAGCCTGTCTTTCTGTACACGGAGATATATCAGTACTAACGTGCTTCCAGCACCTGCCTTTCAGCACAGCCCCAATTCCTTTGTTTGCTCAAAATTTGCTTCCATACCACTTTAAATTAGCTTACAAAGAACCGCAGCGGAATAGCTGGAACGTGAAACAATAATTTTTTTGGAGGAGGGAGGCGAGCAGCTTCTTAGGAAGAGAGAAAATTAAAATACAGACCCAAGTCACTTCTAAATACCTTCGAAAAAAATATTTGTAACTTGATGTCTTCTAGTTCCACCCCTATCACTGAGACCACAGAAACACGAGTTCAGAAGAGGATAGGGAAAAAAAAAAAAAAAAAAGAAAAGAAAAGGGAAAGAAAGAGAGAAAGAAAGAAAGAAAGAAAGAAGAAGAAGAAAAAAAATCCCACCCAACTGCCATCTCCTGCCTCCTCCAGCCCTGCCAGCTTCCCTGTTCCTCCCTGCCTGCAAAGCGCCCTCTGGAAAGCATCGAGACTTCTTTTATCAACCGTGTGCGCTGGGGAAGAGGGGGAGGAAGAGGAGGGGGGGGGGTCCTTGTTCTTGCTCTGGGTGTTTGAGACTAGAATTAAGGGAGGATTATTTTTGGACCCCTCCCGATGAGCGGAGCCCAGGTACCCCCCCCCTCCCATCCCCCAGGGGGCTCCGCTCATCGGGAGGGGTCCAAAGCACTGGATGAGGGGGGAGGAGTTCCCCCCCTCCCCCCATAAAATATAATAAAGACTTACCGGGGTCGAAATCAGGGACCACCGCCTGGTACTGCGGCCCGACCCTCATTCCGCCGCCAGCTGAGGGAGGCAGAGGGACAAGCGTTACCCGCGTGGGCCCAAGCGGCCCCTTCACCACCCCCCCAAAGCCACCCCCCCTCCCGCTCCTCACCGTGCTCCTCATCGCTGGAGGACCCCGAGCTCCCCTCCTCCCAGGAGTTCCCGCTGCTGTTGCCGTTGGGGGCGGCGGATAAACTTTTACTGCCGCCGTTGTTGTTATTATTCGCCCCGGCGGCGTTGTGGTTCCTGCCCCGCCGTTTCCCCGAGACCTCCGGGCCCTTCTCGATCATGGCTGGCATTTAGGGGAGGAAGGGAGGGGGGAGTGGAGAAGAAGGGAAGGGGGGAATCAGAGTTTAAAAACTGCGGGGGGGCTGTGGGAGGCGCCAAGGGCGGGCGGGAGCCGGGGCGGGCCGGGCCGGTGCGCGGCGGTGGCGGCGCTGCTACATCCCCCACCGCGATCGCCCCGAACTTTGAGGCTCATCCCAGCCCTGCGCTGGGACTCCGCTCAACCTGCGCTGCTGCCCGCCGAGGGCCCCGCCCCTCCCGCTCCCGCCGCTGCCCATTGGCCGAACCTACATTTTGGGAGGCCATCCCGCCCGCCCATTGGCCGGCGCCTCCTGTCCATCGCGGCGGCCCCGCGCTTCCGTTCGCTGGGCGCGGCGGGGGCGGAGCGCGGGCCGTGCGTGTGTGCCGGAGCCGCGATCTCTCCGCCCGGCGATTCCTCTGCTCCCCGCTCCCCTGCTCCGGGCCGAGTGGCGGAGAGGCGGGCCCGCAGCCCCCGCGGGAGAGCCGCTCCTCGGCCGCTCCCCCGGCCCGGCCCGGCTCCGCCGTCCTGCCGGGAACTCAGCCCCGGGAGGAGCGTGGCGAGGGACTACTTTACCCCCGCCATACGCCTCCCCCCGCGGCGGAAGGTTACGGCGCGGTTTGAATGGGGATCCCGTACAAAGCTCAGTTTCCCGGGGGAGCCGAGCCCGGCGGGATTGGAGCTCTCCGGCCCGCGTGTCCGGGACGGCTCCTGCCAGCAGCACCGGCCACAGCCCGCCGAGGGCAGGGGCGGCCCGGCGGCCGGAGGGGGCGGCCCCGCCGGAGCGGAGTCGGGGTTGCGGGACAGCGCCGGGGTTGGGGGCGCTCCGCTGCCCCGAGGGAACGGCAGCATCCCGCCGGGAAGCGGCACCGCACGGACCGGGGTCTGCGGTGCTGCCACTACCCGCGGGGCAGAGCCACCCGCCGCGGGGCTCGCACGGTGCCGAGGAGCTGCTGCCGCCGAGCTCCGCTCGAATAACTCCCGAGTTCCCCCATCCCCGCTCCCGTGCCGAGCCGGGATCCGCGCTGGGAGCCCGGCCGAGCAACAGATCCCGCGCCCCGCATTCCCACATTCCCAGCGGCGCGCCCGGCTCCCCCTGCGGCCGCGGAGGAGGAGCCGGCCGGGATCAGGGATCCCTCCCGGGGGCGGCCGCGTCCCACGCCCGGTCCCTTCCCCGGCGTGACCCGGCAGCGAGCGGCTGCCCCGCCGCCGGCAGCGCTCCGGGAGCGGGAGGGGGGCGAGGGAGGGAACAAAAGGAGCAGCGGGACCGCTTTCCTTCCCCTCGTCACGCGAGGCTCCTGCCGGAAAACCCGCACGCCGCGGGGGAGAACTGATGGGGGAGGAGGGACGGGAACGGGGGCTCCGGACCCGCCCTGGCTAAATGGGCAACCAAAGTATGTACAGACCGCTCGCTGTTATTTTGCGACTCGGACTGTACGTCAGGGTGAGGCAACACAATGCACGATCGTGGAAAGCAGCTTGCGGGGTGTGCCTGCTATTTTCATTCAAATTAACTTCTGTAGCAAGTTGGTTTTTTTATTGGCCTGTGCAATTAAAAGTGCCATTTGACTAGCAGCGGTTATCTCGTATCAGCCAAACTGTCCCCAGCCACTCCCCGCCTCCCTCTGCCATTTTAATCCAAGAGAATTTGCACAGGAGGAGGGGGAAGGAGCTGCCGGGGGAGAGCCGTGGTCTCCAGCCCTGGGCTTACCCTTCCCTCTCTGTGTTGTGCCTAAGGTTATCAAAATCATTTCACTTCTAGTTTAGACACGGTATTTTCTCCATTAAAATCAGGGAAAGAAATACCTTTTTGAAATGCATGGTAGTTTGTTTCAGCATACTGTCGTTTTTACGGTATTTTCTTTCTCCTCTGCACTTGGAATGCGTGTTGTGTGTACCTACTGACGTGCACATGTGTACATGAAGTTTCCTTCATGTACACATGCATGTACCTGTGTATTTATTCAACACAGTTATTTAACACAGAAAAAATAAGCTCACTTTCACTGCATAAAATTAACCTTTCCTAGCTCACAATACTAAATTTTATGGCAGTGACTCTTGATCCCACACTCTTTAAAAATATCAGCTCTAAATCAGGGGAGTAATTAGCAATGCTCTTAAACCCCAGCACTGACAGCCACAAATATTTCCCAGTGTGGAGTGTATTACTTCTGTAGTGCAGAATACATTTTCATGATAGACAGGAATGCAAACATGGCTGAGTGTTCATTATCCTTCTCTGTACTCTAGGATTTCTACACCAGAAATCCTAACACTCTAGGATTTCTACACCAGAAACGCAAGAGCAGGAAGGGAACACCCGATCTTTCATTTAAAAATGTACTTGAGTGAAATTCAAAAGGTTTCTCCATTGCTTTTGAAAGTCCCAGCACTAGAAGTAAAAAAAAAAAAAAAAAAAGGTTTACCCAAGACGTAGGCTGAAACACACCTGAACTTGAACTTGAACCTAAGACCACAGATGAGATTTGGAAGCGTGTGTGTACAGTTTACACTGAGATGTGTGTACAGCTTTGCAAATTGGGGACTAATTTTTGTCTTCACTTCCTCTCCTTACCTCCCTCCTCTTCTCTTTATGGCCATTACCCACTTAGGCCCCAGGATTAAAATCTTGAGTCGATCATCTAAATTATTTATAACACAATTTCACTCATTTAAACTGTTGAAACAACATTTACTACCGCTTTGCCACTGTTTGCCTTTCCCAAAGCCATGGGCCCTGCAGCTCCTCCTGGAAGCAGGGTTGAGCAGCGCAGTGCTGTTGGAGCAGGCTGGGGGTCCAGTGTATTCCCTGTGTCCCCAATTCTGGTTGACAGTGCCATGAGGGAGGCCTCCTGTGCCAAAGCCATCCCCTGGGGCAGCAGGGCACAGTCTGCCCCTCCTGCCCACTCACCAGACTGCCCCGTGACCCCAGCAGAAGATGAGATGCCCAGGAACAGCGGTGGATCCACGCCTTCTCCCTTGGGTGCCCAAGGCTGCATGTGTGCACTCTGTGCATGTGTGTATGTCCCCAAAGCAGGAAGTCTCGGCATTGTCACTGTCACTGCCAGTTTGCACTGGTCACAGCTGTTATCCCGGGCCAACAACATCCTCTTCACCCACAGCAGGGCTCCTATTTGTTTTCAAACCTTTCTGCAGAAATTCATAAGCCCTGAACAGAACATCTCTGATGCTGATGGCAGCGTTTTGATTCTAACCATTGAGAAAATTTTTCATGCTTGTCCTTTCTTCCTGAACACAGTGGTGTTGGGTTTCTTTCTGCTTCGGCTTTAGCCTGAAGTTTTGAGGGTGTCCCAACACAGCACTGCAGATTTTGGAGCTGTTCTTGAAGGAAACTTTGACAAATTCTTTTCCGGCCATAGAGAAAACTCCTTGCAGAGTGTGGGTGAACATGTACACAGAAACTGAACACAAAACACAAAATTGTGTTTTAATTTTAGCAGCGATAGTGAATACACTTTTTGCAACCTCTAACTAATACAGGTGCCAAAAGAGCAATAAGTTCTATTTCTCTGCCTCGTGCTGTTTGCTCTGGAGAAAACCTGTGTTAAAACTTACTTTGAAGTTCTGCAAGGTGGGACAGATGAGGAGGAAACCCCTTGAGCACTAAGTGAGCCTCTGGTGGGTATGAGGTCTTGTTTACCTGGATCAACACTTTATTGAGACACATTAGGCCATGATCCCACATGTGACTCTGCACACCTGTGTGACCTGCCAAGGCTCACCAAAAGGAGTTTCATGCATGATCTGCAACAGACTGAGTTATATAAAGCAGGGAACATATTTTTCCTGGACCCTGAGCTTGAATGCAACTCCTGGACATTACTGAAATGTAGTGGTTAACCTGCTCAGCTGTTTAGATATCAGAGCAAAAATGGTGGGAAAAAGGTCTCCTCCTTATAAAGACAGTGTTATTGTTGCATGTATCTTGTAACCTAACAGGTTGGATGAGGCAGGACTGTCTTTTTAAATAATTTCTTGAAATTCGTTTCTTTTTGTCAAGGGAGAAGTGCCTCTCCTTGCCAGTTTTTAAATGAAAACTTTTCCTATTGCCGTTAACCCTGTCAGTCCCACAAATGAAATACAGATGAAGTAGAAATGCAGCCAGGATGCCCAACAACTGAGCAGCCTTCATTCCCTGGATGAAAAAAATAGTCTTCTGCCTCTTTCTTGGTCTCCTTCCTTTGAGACTTTTCCCAGGGCAGCAGTGCTCATCGTGCAGCCTCGGGACTGCCAGTTCCTGCAACAAAGGGTTACGAGAGCTAAAACCCTACCCATTTGCTGGAGTTGTAAAAAACAGCTCTCACCTCCTTTGTACAGTATTTTCCTTGAAAACAGACACACTGAAAATGCTTACCCCAGTGAGAATGTGCCTGTGTGTTTACACAAGTATATATGTATGTATGTATATATACACACGTATATTTGGTTACTGGTAGTAAAAGGGACAATTAATCACGCTCTGGGCTGATTGTTTTTAATACTGAAAGGCTATTAATCAGGAAAATGTTACCCTTTGAACAAGATGTTTATACAGTCAACACTATGGATTGTTTTTTTTTCCCCTGGTGCTAAGCTGCTTGCTAATGCAGAGCAGAAGTTGAGTTTATAATCACTTACATTAGAACTTCGTGCTCCCAGTTCAACAACAATTTTGGCTGGAATCTGGGAGGAATGCATGGGAGTTGATGCCTGGTTCTCTTAGATTTCAAGGGGACTTGGGTGTTCAAACCCCAAATCTCTGGAAGCATTTACAAGCCTAAAAGACAGAAACAGACACCATGTGCACATTTCAAAAACACCTCCTTCTGCTGAAAAAACCCCAAGGGGCATCTAATTTCACTTTAATGTAACTAAAAGACTTTTAAAATCTGTCCTTAAATCTCTTGTGAGCCTTTGGAAATTTGTCCTTGGAGCCTTTCATCCTGAAAGTTGCTTTTAGAGAAGGAACAGTATGGCAAATTTTAATCCAAACTTTTATTTCCCACTG